TGAATATATTCCAGGTGAGATTATACTCTATTACAAAATATTATTTTATATTTTACTACAAAATATGTTTGATAAAAATGGATATTTTATGAATTTATTTAATGGACCCATTTTATTGATTTGTATACATTTATATACCGCACGCTCTTAAATCGAAAGGTAACTAAAGAGATTAGCATAGGTTATAGTAGAATAGGTAAGTAATAGATTAGTTTAGTAATTAGAGTAGCTTAGGGTAAGTTAGAATTAAATAGAAGTAGAATAGTGTACATAGTTAAGCGTAGGATACATTAGAAGTAGAATAATGTAAATAGTTAAGCGTAGAATAATTTAGAATAGTGTAGTTTAGTCTAGTTTAGTTTAGAGTAGCTTAGAATAAGATAGGCTAGCAAATAGAATAAGTTAGAATAGTGTAAATTATTTTACGCTTATTTACATTATTCTACTTCTAATCTATCCTACGCTTAACTATGTACACTATTCTACTTCTATTTAATTCTAACTTACCCTAAGCTACTCTAATTACTAAACTAATCTGTTACTTACATATTCTACTATAACCTATGCTAATCTCTTTAGTTGCCTATCGATTTAAGAGTGTGCGGTATATAAATGTATACAAATCAATATGGTTTTCCAATCAGGTTCCAATATGGTTTTCCAATCAGGTTCCAATATGTTTTTTCAATCAGGCTCCAATATGGTTTTCCAACCAGGTACCAACATGGTTTTTATATCAGGTTTTAATATGATTTTTAAATCATGTTTTAATATGGTTTTACAACCAGTTACCAATATTGTTTTTAAATCAGGTTTAATATGGTTTTCAAACCACCTTCCAATATGGCTTTTAAAGTTACGGAAGTGGTTAAAAAGGTACAAAACAAATTATTACTTGAATTTGTTATGCCTATATTTATTAAAAAATTAAAACTAATAGTGATACATAAAAAAAGATTTAAAAAATAATATATAAAAAAATTAAATTTAAAAAATAATGTATGTACAATTACTATAAACTACATATTAAATACAATTATATTATAATATAAACAAACGGTTACAAATTTATTTATTTTTTGATATTCGGTCCTTTGTTGTCGCCAGAAATAAGGACACGGATTTTCTAATTTCGGATGTCAAACATTTTTGAAAATATAATTTTTTCGAAAATATAATTTTTTCATATGGTGCCGACTTAAGTAGACACATTTACTTAAGGTCACTTAGTTTCACTTTTTTATACAACAAACTCGCAACAATAAAATACAACAATAATTATTAATTAGACAATTAGAGACAGATAAATGAAAGACCGCAATAAGAGAATATAAATAACAGCCACCCCCACCCTCATATACCAGTCCAGTATGCGTCCAGTCGTCACTTATCGCCCCTTCCAAAACAAATTGTTCTACCTAGGGATGAAAAAGGTCTTATTTACCTGATTTGTTTACTACGATTTAAAAAGGATTTACCGAGAATAACAAAAATTATTAATATTAAAATAGAAAGTATATCTATTAAACATCATTGATAGGTTTTCTGTGACAATAAAGTATATTTTGATTGATTACTTGAATGAAAAAAAGGCGTATAATATGTGGGGATGTGCAATACTGAGAAAGTATCGATATTTGGCATCGAAAAATATCGAAACCGAAATATCGATAACGGTATCGCATCGAAAAAAAAATCGATATCTACAAATATCGATACTTTTTTTGTGTATTAAATTAACACTTTAATATGTAATGAGGTAAAATTTAAACATATTGAAAGAGAAACAAAATTTATTTTCTATACAATAATAACACAAATATAAAATAAGTACAATGTATTATACCTACTGCTAAACAAAAAGCTTACATTTTTCTAAAGTCCCCAATCATTTTTGGGGCAGTCTCCAAGAAACAAAAGTTTGCTTAGTCTTTTTCCTAGAAGTCGATTTCGATCTCCACAAACTGTAGCACCAGCTTTAGAAAACAATCTTTCCGAAGGAACGGAAGTTGCCGTAACACTTAATTATTTGAAGGAGATTTTAAATAAGTTTGGAAAAACTGTTTTCATCTCTTGCCATAATTCAAATGGATTTGAATGTAGAGAGGCCACTGGATTTTTAAAATACAATGCTAATTCGTCATGTACAATTACATTATGAGACGTGATGATGAAGAGACTGATAAAAAAAAGTGTTGAAAAAGTCAGTAATTTTGCTGAAGAAACTGTGCCAAAGTTCTCCAGTAACCAGTTTAAAGAACATTTTCAAATACGACCAGTTGTTTTTATAGATGTTAAAACAAAATTACAAGAATCTGTTAAGGATGTTGTTCTGAACAAGAAGGGCCAACTCATATTATAACAGAAAAAAAGTTTCACTCTGTTCTCCTTCAAGGCGTTTTCAATAAAGATCAAATGTTTCTTGATGTTTATGCAGGAGAGGCCGGCTCAATTTATGGTGCCAATTTATTTATAAAATCAGATTTTTATGATTTTTTTATCAAATACAGAGTTGTATGATGACAGTCATATTATCGTGGTCATGGCTTGGGCAATCTTGGGCCAGTAGAAAAACATTTTAATCTAAAACTATCAGAAATCAGAGTTGTTATTGATTACGCTTTTGCACAATTTAAGGGTCGCTTCAGAAGAATGAAGTACATGGAAACATGAATATTAGATCTAATATGTCTTATTATAGTGGCGTCCTGTATTTTACATAATATATGCATTTATAATGACATTTTTGACATTGATCCGTTGGAGGACGAAAATAATGAAGCTGAGCCATTTGAACCAGTCATAGCAAACAGGATAAATATAGGAAGACAAGAAGGAGAAACAAAACAAAGTCGTAATGCCAATTTTTTGTACTAACTTAGAAATGGTCATTAAAACTTCAAATGTATGTATCTAATGGTCCCAAATAAAATGCACAACTCTATCTACATACAGAACACCATAGGAGATTACAAATATTTGCAATAACTGACATTTAACATTCCTGGATTATCTGCTAAAAATAAGATATGCTTTTACTTGGAACAAATATCTTGAAAAATAAAATTCCGCCTTGCCCAAAATGGCTTAACTTTGTAATTTAAATAGTTATGATATTGACATGTTTCATTATAAGGTAAGTCATATAAAATCTCCATTATTTAATATTAAATAATTTTTTTTATGTAAAATTCTTTGTTGTATGCTTATTTATCTCCTTCCTCTTAATGAATAAAAATGTATTTATAGATTTTTCATGTTTTGTAATTGGGTATTTATACCTTGTAAAACAAATTAATGATTTGCCATATGTAAAAGGATTTTCTGAACAAGTATCTAAAATGTTTTCTAAATATAATATAAAAATTGCTCATAAACCTAACAATACAACTAAAACGTTAAGCGGCGTCCACACTATGCCGCGGTAGGCTGTTGGCACTGTCAATTTGGCAAAGCCAATACAATGTAGACGTGGCCGTTGGCATGTGCCGCTGAGCCAATGATTTGCCAACGAAAATCGCTCTAGTGTCGGTCTCCATCAAAGGAAGCCGGTGAAAGCCGGTAGTGGGGACGAGCCAACCGTTGTCTTCACACGGCACGCACGTGGTTCAGTTGTGGCTGAGACAGCGCAGTATTTAGTCATGGAGTGGACCAACGCGAAAGTGTGTGAACTTATTGAGCTTTACCGAGATCGTCCTGTTCTATGGGGCTGTCGTTTGAAAGAGTACAAAGACAGAAATAAGAAACAAGATGCTCTACAAGAAATCGCAGATACTTTTGGTGTTGATAAACAAGTTGTAGAAAAGAACCTTAAGAACCTAGTGTGTCATTTTTTACGTGAAATAAAGAGGTAGAGAGACTCAAGCAAGTCTGGTGCGGGAAATTCTGATGTGTACAAGAGTAAATGGTTCTGCTTCAAAAACATGCTGTTTCTCAAGGATAGAAATACACCTAAAGAAACGACGGACACAATCAAGCAGGTAAATATATATTAACACAGTAAATTCATAGAATAATTAGTAATTATATTTTACATTAATATAAAACACATATGACATAGTTTAGGGCTTATTATTTGTCGTGTTGAAAGGATACTATTCCAGCCGGGGAAGTAAAGAAGTCTGCAAATTCATTTCTAACGGCTTGTGCCTCATCAGTGCTTCTTCTTGAAGTTCGAGGAATGTTGACCAAAGCTTGATTTGAAGGGCATTCTCTCCAAGTTCCTGGATTGATCTCACCTGTGGTTGAGCACTCAGAGTCGAATGTTCCGGGGGGATTGTACACTGATTTGGAGTTACTTTTCCTCAAGTAGTTGTGCAGATAAAGTACTGCCAACACCACCATCTTAGCCCGCTCTGGTTGTAATAGCATAGGTCTTCGTAGTATGCGGTACACAAAGGATATTATGCCAAACGCATTTTCAGACACTCTACGTGCTCTACTTAACCGATAGTTAAACACTCTTTCCTTGGAATTCTTTTTTTGAGCACCTGGAAATGGTTTTATAATGTTTTTTGACAAAGGAAAAGCATCATCGGCCACAAAAACATACGGTGTTTCATCTATTCTTCCAGAAAGAGCAGTAGGAGGAGGAAGATGCATTGTGTTGTTCTTAATGCAATCTTTGAATGTTGTGTGACTTAACACATCTCCGTCTGATATTCTTTCTTGACAGCCAACATTTGCGCAGATAAAGTTGTAGTGCGCATCTACCACCGCAAATAGAACTATACTGAAAAACCCCTTGTAGTTGAAATATTCTGTGCCACTATGGATAGGTGCTTGCAACATAATATGCTTCCCATCAAAGGCCCCCACACAATTTGGGAAATTCCACTTATCATTGAACTCTTTTGAAATAACTTTCCACTCTGCTTCATTTTGTGGCATCTGAAACAAAATTATATATTCAATCATTAATGCAATATTCAATCATTAATTTTTTCAATTTAATTTTTTTTTAATCAAATGATAAAGCAATATTCTGTCAAATATGAGAGGTATCCAAGGACGGCATACATCAGGTTTGGATCAGTTCAAGACTTTTGGAGAGCTAGTAGGACTGCGTATTAAAGACCTCCCATCGTCAAATGCTCAGAAAATTGTAAAACACCTTATTAGCAATATTCTGTTTGAAGCTGAAATGGGCAAGTACGACTATGGCAACCCATTGAGCGGAAATTACTCACAGCCTTTCTACCCAATACCGAACTATGTACAACAACCGATTCTTGCCCCGATGCCACCAAACCCAAACCCATATTTTGAGCAGCCGTCTTTTCATGGACAAACACAAGCAACAACCTCTCCACAATTAGCCATGAGTCCCACGTATTCAATCCTTACGGTAACGGACAATGACTCTCTTGACAATATATTGATGAAGCTGTAGTTCCCACCTCATCTCTTCAAAATTTAAATTTGAGTTAGACTTTTGTTCATTTTTTGTTGTAATAAACTTAAGACACAGTTTAACCGAGTAAATGTTTCATTTGTAATAGAGAATGTTTTGTTCTAATAAACTTGAGACACATGTCGACCAATAAATGTTTTATTTGTAATAGACCATTTTTTCTTACCTTGATGTAATCCTGTAAAACGCTGACAATTGCTTCACAAACAATCGGGATGATGACTGATATTATTTGCTTTGAAATCTTGAATGTGTAACTTAATGAGTGGTAAGAGTCTCCCGTTGCTAAAAACCGCAGAGTAACTGCAAGGCGTTCATGTGGAGGAATAGCACTTCTGAAGGGTGTGTCTTGTTTCTGGATGATATGAGCTATCTTATTTAGAAGACCTTCAAAGTCACTTATTTTCATTCGAAAAAAGTTTTTGAAACCACATCCAGATCTGTACTCGAGATTTAATTCGTCTGCATCATTCAATAACAAATTCTTCATTAACTCACAAGTTCCGTATTTTCTTCTACTTTGAAGGCTTGGACGCACCCAAAACCGTCGTTTGCGCCGTTTACGCACTTTTTCGCTGTTTTCAACGATAATTATAAACGCACCTAAAGCAACTAGTACATCCTCCTCAGCAGACATTTTGCGACTGAATGCGAACGAATGCCTAGGTGTAGACGGCAAGCCAAAATCGGCTTTGCCGCGTTGGCTTTGCCAACCCGGCATTGCCAACAGCCAACCGCGGCATAGTGTGGACGCCGCTTTAGTTTCTAATTTTAAGCCCAAAATTAGTAAAATAAATCAACCAAACGTTGTCTATAAAATTAACTGCAAAGACTGTAATTCCACTTACATTGGACAAACGAAACAATATCTACATAAAAGAATAAAAAACCATAAAATTAATATCGTAACTAATAATGAAAATTCCACATACGTTAGAAAATTTGCACTCTTTCGATTTTGAAAATGTAAGAATTTTCGAAAATCAACCTAATCTCAACAAAAGAAAAATCTTTGAGATGATACATATTAAAAAAAATAACAACTGTGTAAATAATAAAACAGACATAAAATATTTGTCAAACGCTTATTTTAATATTATTAAATAATTGTAAGCTTCTAATCCTTAAATGTAACGCTACTGGTAATTTTTAACTTTGTAAAAACTAATCTTTTTGTTTCCATACTTTGTCGTTATCGTGTTAAACCAAATCAATATTATTTCGAATATACCTTCACATAATGAAAGAAAAATATGGGGTTCTGCTATTTTAAAAATTTGTTGTTGTAATCTTTTTCTTTTTTTTTTTGACCGATTTCAAAAAAGGAGGGGGTTATCAATTCGTCGCGATATTTTTTTTATGTATTTTCAGCGATAATTCTTTAACACGGTGTCCGATTTGAATAATTCTTTTTTTGTTAAAAAGGGGATACTTCAGGTGTGGTCCCATATAAATTTGGTTAAAATCTAATAATTGGGTCCATGAGAAAATTCTCAAACTCTTCATTTTTTATGTATGTTTAGCGATAATGCTTTACCACCTTATCCGATTTATATGATTCTTTTTTTGTTAGTAAGGGGGTACCTCAGGGGTGATCCCATATAAATTTGGTTACGATGTGAAGATGGCATCTGCACGTTTTTGAAGTCGGTTTTTTTGAAATTTTTAATTTCTAATACTTGTTTAAATTTTAACTTTTGACTGCACCCGAAGATGGAAAAAAATAAATTTCCGAAACATATGTAGTACTAAACGTTTGAAAATAAAAAGAATGACCAATTAAACCTAGGAAATTTTTATTTATATAAAATTCTACTACGGTTAGGAAATTATCCTTATTCGATAAATAAATAATTTTAATTAAAAGATATTACATTTTTTATCTAGTTATTACAAATTATATAAAAGTAACCTAAAACTAAAAAGTCAAATTTTTTAATTATTTTTATTGACTCTTGTATTCATCCAAAAAGCTTACTCCATTTATCACAAAAATATATATTGCTAACTTCAAAATAAAAATCAAGTTTGGGCCAAAATAACAAAAATTTAAAAAATGTTAACATTTTACATGGATTGTTATACAGTTTTCCATATGATGCATGCTTTTTGGACGACCCTGAATGAGTTTTAGTTGTTTCTGTTTTCTAGGGAGTTAACTAGTCTCTATCTTGCCTTTCCATTTTTTCGCGACGACGACGTTCAACTGTATAACCTAGTTTTCTGTTTCTCCTACTATGGGAAATGTAAAATACTTTTCTCATATTAAATTAATTTAACATAATTTGTTGTTTACAGGTATATTACCTATATGTTCTGTAAATTTGAAAATAGATACTGAAAATATACCTCATTTAGCTACGTGGTTACTTAATACAGGACTTACCTGTCACTGGTCGCCTATTGACATCTCCAAGGCCTTGAACATTACTGCAAATAAAAGGATCTGTTATTTCAGGATTTCTACCTAATAATTCTTCAATTGCATCAAAATAACTCCAATATTTGTAATTATTTCCTGAAGTGACATTATGCTTTTAAATATTTTAATATTCCTTTATATCTTTAAATTTGGTGTCACACTGAGTTCGGGTAATTGGTGGAAAAATATCAAAACATTATTGAACACAAGAAATTATTAATGTAATAACTTGGAAAGACAAAGATGAGGCATAGGTTAAAATTAGCCAACAGTTTAATGCAAATTGTCCAGACAATATTCACAGAATAAAAAAATTGTTAAAAAAACTTACGAAAATATTAAAAAATATAAGGAAGGACCTAGCTGACGAAAAAAAAAAGAAATAAAGAAGGAGGTGGAGCCGTAAAAATACATCTTAGAGACCCAACCTTTGAAAGGACTTTGGCTCTAATTAATCCTAAGACCGTGTTAGGATTATCTAACACTTTTGATGGGGACAGAGACGTACATAGGATAGAAAATTATTCTACTCCTAGTACTAGTTATGGGCTGTTGAACGCTGTTATTAGTTCTGCTAAAAGCAAAATTGAATATAATATTAGGAGGAAAGTGAAAACGAGATGCTACTCACAAACAGTGCAGACCAATATGTAAGAATACGTTTGTTTTATATTTAGTAAATTTAATCATTTTTTAAGGAGCATATAAACAACTTAAAAGAGGAACATATAATCGGAAAAAGAGGAGAAGCAAAAAGAAACACTCAACGAGGTAAGTTTATATATTAAATTAATTTTAAAAATTGGTTTCCTTTAATGAGATACGTTTCATAAATTTGGATAGATCAACATTATTGCCTCATAATTATAAACATTTAATTATTGACAGTTGTATTTCTTAAAAGACAAAATAGCTATAGCACTCTATATAGGTAATTATATAGATGAAAAATTTGTATATGAAATGTAAATTTAAAATAATCACACTATTATTTCAGAAAGACTGGGGAAGTGTAAATTCTTCCCATGTCAAAACACTGGTAACACCTGTATTAACAACTAAAAATAGGTGGTCTAATGGAAGCTATAAAAAATCAAACTAGCTCACAATTAGCTGAAGAATAGAGAAAATTGGCCAATATTAAAAGGGAAGTCGTCTCCGAACCTAGCTGTCTATCTCACTTAAACGGATCATCAGATAAGTGGCATAAGTGGCATTGTTCATTATTTTGAGGTTGGATTGAACTAAACTTTATTTTATCTATATAAACAAGAGTTTTAGGGTAAGAATAATAATTATCTAACAGCTAATTATTTGATACCCTATTAGCAAATATACCACTAAAAAGTCTTTTTAGATAAGATGGTATCCTGAGACTCTTGTAAAGATTCAGTCCGATTCCACTGACCCTCCTCGAGTCAAAATATGATAGATTTTAAGGGTAACTAAGGAAAACTTAACATCTCTCTCATGTAAGAAAGGTAGCACACCAACAAAGCCATGAAATTAAAAACGAAGAGGTAGCTAGATAACAATATAAAACAGTAACCAATCAAGATTGTAGTAATCCATAAAAAATATTCCTTTCTAGCAGCGTCTCCTAACGGTCTTGAAGGTGAAGATGGTGCTATTTAGGTAAAATTATCCAATAAGTTTCGAGATGAAGATTCTAAATCTATAAAATTTTATATTTTAAATTTGGAGGAAAATTTATTGGTTAACCACGACTATTATTACCAAATTCAAGGTATTCTTGAAATCACAAATAGAGTTTCGTGTGATTTAGTTATATTTACCTTACAAGCAGTGGCGGCTCGTGGGGGTATTCACAGTGACAGAATATAGGTATCAGTAGAGATGTATGAAACACTTGTGGATATAATAAAATGTAAACAAATAATAAAATGTATTTATGTGTATGATATTTTAAAGAGTTATCGTGTTCTATTTTGTATAGTAAAATACAGCTCTTTAGACTCTAAAGTATTCACTAGAAATAATCAGGCTGACAAATATAAGACAAAAGGTTAGAATGGGTTTTAATGTAAAATAAACTACAAAATTAGGATCCTTACGATTCAAGTCTAGAATTTTGTAAATATCTCCAGTAGGAGTAAATAAAAACGGAAAATGTAGAACATAGTATAGATGAAAATAGAATAGAACCAGTATAGAATAGAATAATGTGGAATAGATTATGTTAACTTAGAAGAGCGTAGTATAGTATAGGTTAAGTTATAGTAGCTTAGTTTTAGCATAAGGCAGAACAATAAGATTAAATTAAATAGAATAATTTCGGATAGATAACATATTATAGATTAGATAGAATAGTTTAGGATAGATTAAGTAAGAATAGTTTAGTTTAAAATAAAGTAGAATATATTAGACTAGATTTAGATATAAACTTAGTAAAATCTAGTTAGAATTTTTGACCCGTAACATACATAGTAGATCTAAGATCGGACATTTATTTTTCATTGAAGGAAGTACTCTTAAAAGGTAAGATTGAATGATAAAGAGTGGTTAAGTAACTTCATAGTTGTGCTTTGGCATTTTTAATTCTCAAAATAATAATGTGTCAAATTATAAGAGTTGCCAAGTCTTCAATAATGTTTGAAAATAATACATTTCACGTAGATTTTATTCAAAATACTGGATTCATTAAAGATTTTGTAACAATGCCTATAGCAAAATATGAACATTTTATTTTAATAGTATTAAACCTGAGAAAAAAGGAAATAATTCTATTCGATGCATTGGATAATGAAATAAGTCAAAAAACCATGTACTTTCCAAAATTCTTAAATTTCATGAAACTGCAAATTATGAATAACTCTGGGTGGAAATTTTTTACCCAAAGACACTGTCTCCAAATGGACAATTTTAGTTGCGGCATTTTTATAATTCATTTGTTTTTAACGTATTTAAAGGATAAAAACAGACAAATGAATTTGTAGTCAGAATTTCCGCAGAATAATTAAGGTAGTTGATTTTAAATAACTCTGATATTATGAACAATCAGATGGTCCCAAGATGTAAATATTTTAAATGAACAAATGTTTAATTGGAAAGGTCGCCGGAATATTCACGACAGATGTTTACGAACAGCAAGAGAAATTGAGAAAGGTGAGTTCTTGAGGCAAAAAGAAACAAAACGATATTCGTAATTTGTCTAGGATCAATCAATATAAAAATCAATTATTTAAAATTTTAATACATGGAATTATATTTACTTTAAATGCTATTATTTTGGGTTTTGTTCATAAAAGATAGTCTTACTACGCAAAATGGTCTAATAGCACTATTTTTTAAATATTTCTAACCAAATAATTTTATGATTTTTTATTGGAAAGGCTTTAAATAGTTTTTTCTTTTTTCTATTTATATTTCTTGTCTGCAAATTAAATTAATCTATTTTAAATTAATTAAAGTCAGAAGTCAATGATCAATTGCTTTATAAATATAAACATAATAAAAAATAATTTACTATTTTTGTATATTAAAGCTGTAAATTACTAAACAAATTTTCTAAAAACTAGTTTTTAAGTTCAAATTAAGTGTAATAAATGGAATACATTGTTCAATAATCTTGTGTTAATATTTGTTTTTTTAAATAATTAAGTATATTTTTATAGATACCTGGTTGTTTTATTTTTTACCTTAAATTATAATTTGATACATATCTTCACACAATACGAGCTAGTAAGATCAAGAGTACTATATACCTGTCCCTTCTTAAATTTAAGAAGTGATTCATTTGGATTCGGTGGACTAACAAAATCTTTTTTCATTGTAAAATTAATACAGCGCGCGTCTAAACAGACCCGCACGGACCTGTCTTTTTTCTTTGTGCAAACCAACGGCGAAATATACTGTTTTTTCCTTTTTAAGGACTTTAAAACCTAGCATTTCCTTTATCTGCATACCTACTTCATTTCTATATGCAAAAGGAATCGGATACGAAGCCACGTTAAATGAATCATAATCATTTAGTTCGATTTAATGTAAATATTTTTTTACGCAGCCGGGAGTCTCTGAAAAAACATCTCTAAATTCGTCAAGTAACAAAAACATATTTTGTTCGTTAGAAGTGCCTAGTCCTGCATTTTCTGCCGCTTTGGCAAGGTCAACGTCGCTGTATACATGTGATGCATGCCTACCAGGCATTGGCGCACCTTTAGTGTCTAAAAAAATTTGTTCGTTTGTGAGGTTAATACTTAAATTTTGTACTTTTGTTTTAAAAGTAATTTTTGTAAAAAAATCTTTATGATTGTGGGAAAAGTATAATAGTGATTTACCGAAATCTAAAATTGCTTTCTGTTTGTGCAGCCAATCCGAACCTAATATTAAATCAGCATTTAAACTGGATACGATCAAACAATTTATGTCCATCATTATTCCCGAAATTAAAGCAGGCATTTGTATTTGATTTTTGACTTTTTCGGTTCTGTTACCGACTGCCACTGCTACCGAAGTATTTGTAATTGGTAAAATAGGTATATTAATTAATTCTTCTTTGCTTATTGACTTAAAAAAACTTGCTCCGTGTTACCGCTATGTATGTTACTCCTAGTTATGGAATTGTTTTGCGAGACATTATTGAAATCCCCATTTGGCTCCCGATTCCGACGTCTACTGTTGCCCACATCGCGCGAATATATTTCGTCTAAATATTTTTCAAATACCTCAATAGAAGAAAATCCATTATTTACTATTCCCCTTTGTACCTCCGGAGGAAAATGTTTCAAAACCATAGATATTAATTTTTCTGTTGGTATTTCCCCATCCAGAAACTTGGCTTGGCTTTCTAGATTTAAAAAATATTCCGCGCCGTTGCCCGACTCAAAGCGTCCGTACTGTATCTCTTAAAAAAGTTCCCTTTGTTTTTCTTCTTTTATAGTACCCCAGTCAGCTGATGTGCCTCTAAAATAGTTTAAAGCTTACAATTATCCAGAACACCAGCCTCATAAAAAAGTTTATTTTTTTTTAAAACGCCACTGGATGCATTTTAGAATTTGGATAAAATATTAAATTACAACCCCCCAATTCTTTCTAGTTAGAAATATACGATCTGTCAACAATATTTTGATTCTGCGCCGCCCAAATACATTGACATTTGGCAGACATTCATTATTAGCTGCCTGTTGAACAACCGGTGGATTAGATACATGTTGAGGACTTAAATTTATATTTGTCGTTCTTTTATCGATAGATTCTACGCTTATGACTAAATTAGCAACCATTTGTTGTAATGAATTTAAGTTTTCTGTAAGTTCGTTTATATCACTTTCCATATTATTTGAGAAATGTTATGCGATAAATCAAAATCAGAAATTTCCCCTCTTGTTTTTCCTCGTCATTTTTTTTTTTTAATTCTAATCCTAATGCTCGCTTTTATAAAAGTATTTGATTGTTTCGCAAAAATTTAATGTTAATATAAAGTTTACGAAAGTTCACTGTACCGGCACCGATTGTTGAATGTTATTTTTTTTTAACTTCCCGTACTCCCGTACTCCCAGAAGGTAAAATGAAATAAGCTCATCAAAAAAATGTTCCTCTACGAAGAAAGCCCCTGTTGGGATGCACCGTCAACTTGCTCTTCTCCCCTTCTCAAGGGAGATTAGATTTGATTTTGCTTAGTTGGAACTTGAAACCACTATCACTTTACTTTAAATAATTTATTATTTTATTTAAAGAAGGAACACAATCTCACACGTACACAGTACAATAATTTCTAATAAAACAAAATGGCTAACTCAAAAATCACAATCAATAACAGTCAATCTCTCCTCGAAGCTCGGAAGCTGAGACCTGACTGACTTCTTTCCTGCTCCCCATCTTCTTCCGGTATTGCACAATATTCGCATGCACCGCACCAGTAGCGACGCAATATACGGGGTACCAGTGCAGTTTCTCCATTCTCTCCATGATGCGGATGAATAACACGGCACATACATGTTAGTTCCACCTGTAGGGTCCCCCAATGCCGCCGTTTACACCACCCATCGACACCACGGCCAAACTCCAAACTTCTATAATCACAAACACCTATTGACAGGTAGGATTTGAACCTACAATCCTCGGAATGTAAAGGAGAGGCCCTAGCCACTACACTACCAAGGACATCATGAAATAAGTTAGTCAAAAATCTTTTGTTAAAAAACATTTTTGAAGTTATTAAATAGTGTCATCATCAAATTTTGTAATATCCAATATAATCTTTAAATGTTTTAATAAAATTGTAAATTCTCAATATCACCAATATTTTGTTAAATACATCAGCAATAAATGAGTTATTTCAAAAAGGCATATTGATTTGTTACCCAAAACTTATATACATGAGATCAATTATGTTTTATGTAATTTTATTTCTAATCTATTTAGCTACTAAGTGTAAGTTTCGTTACTTGTAATATTTATTAAAGCTATTTGCAGGGTATAGTATTAATAAATAAAATAAAAAAAGAAATTTTTGTTCAATATTAACACATGTAAAAATAATAATATATCTAAAAATAAAAACTAGTTAACATTTATTTTGTTAAGCTTAAAAAAAATAACATCACATTCTTGTTTAACCTTATTAAATAACTTTATACAATAGTACAAAAATAAAAATCCCATTTGTTTAACTT